GAATACTAGTCAGTAGCATATATCTGTATACACACATATACCGCTGCATAATAATATATATGCTACTGAAATGAAATACCAAAACATGCACGCACCAATGTACTAAATAATCGGCATCTCCATATACCAACGTGCCACTATACCAATTATATCAATACTCCAACTTACTACGATAAAAAACGAATATACATACAAATGTTCCTAGGAATACTAATAATCATAGTCTTAAAAATCGTACTACTCGTACTCATGCTAATATACATACTTATGCTTATATCAATGCGAATACATATATTCATGTAAGTACTACTCATGAATACTAATACTCATATTAATATTATGCATAATACAAATGTATTAATATTCATAGTACTAACTCCTACTGACATTTATTTTCAGATGAATAATATTCACACGAATAAACATATTTGTTTTCATATCAGTGTTAATCTTAGTTTTAGTTGTAAAAAAGGAACTATTTAATTCTACGAATATTGATTTTCTTCAATATTATTGCTCTCACGAATACTTATATTCATAGTAATGTTAATACTAGGAATAATTGTGCTTCTACGTATACTAATAATCACATTCATGTCTTTAGTACTATAAATACCAATATACATTGCCAGTATTATTAAAATAAGAAATGTTAACCTTCGTGCATAAATTAATACTCGAATTTCGATTTATTAGTCTTACTACTTATATCAGTGTTAACAAGTCTTTCAATACTGATATTAACACTAACATTAAAACGAATATTAAGGCCAATACGATAATCCCCGGTCATATTCATATTAATACTAAGGATGTACAATCACTAGTATATATGTACGCGTATACTACTGTCTACGAACATGCGTACTACTAAAATGAAATACCACCACATGCGTGCAACGATGTACTAGAGAATCAGTATTTTCATATGCCAATGTACCAATATACCACTATAAGACTAGTACTAATACTAATATTGATGTGATGGTGTCACGCTGTGGATGCCAGGAATTAAAATTTACGATGAATCCAGCTGTCACAGTAACGGCCTCCAAAAGGACTGTGTTTTTGGACAGTACAGCATTTTTGTTAATTTGATCGCAAAAATGCTGTACCGTCCCAAAAAAACCAATCCTTTGTTGCAAAAGTGCTGTACTGTCCCCAAAAACCAAAAAAACAATCTTTTCCGGTCCTGGGACCTCGCATGATTTTTATCTATGAAAAAGATTGTTTTTTTGGGGGGACAGTACAGCACTTTTGCGAAAAAGGATTGGTTTTTTGGTACAGTACCGTGTTTTTGTTCATTTGATTGCAAAAGTGCTGTACTGTCCCCAAAAAAACAAAAAAAACAATCTTTTCCGGTCCTGGGACTTCGCGGGCTCCAAGACTGGGAAAGATTGTTTTTTGTTTTTTTGGGACTATACAACACTTTTGCAAAAAAAGATTGTTTTTTTGGGGACAGTACAGTGTTTATGTTAATTTTCTTGCAGAAGTGCTGTACTTTCCCAAAAAAAACAATCCTTTGTCGCAAAAATGCTGTACTGTCCCAAAAAACCAATCTTTTGGAAGGCCTGTAGTCGGTAGCCTTTTCAAGACTGGAAAAGATTGTTTTTTTTCAGTACAGCACTTTTGCAAAACAAGATTGGTTTTTCTTGGGACAGTACAATGTTTTCGTTAATTTTCTTGAAAAAGTGCTGTACTGTCCCACAAAAACCAGATCTTTTGTGCAAAAATGCTGTACTGTCCCAAAANNATGATGCGCGTCAAGGTGGTGTACGACTGTTCTCAATCGTGCTCGACGTCACGTACCTGAAAGGCGGAAAGGGTGGGTCCTTAGGCGCCCAGACCCTTGGAACTCGAACAGGGATCCTTTGAATGGAACCTTTAACATGCATCTACAAGGGTTTCTACACGCAGGGATATTACGAGGGCCTTCAGCCACGGTTAAATATATAAGGGCTTCAGTAGCTAGCATAGGGCTTCGCTTTAAGGGGCTCGTTAGCAAAATCCGCACTACACGAAGTACCCTAAACTACGGGAAATATCGTATGTGCGCGATTATGGAGAATACAGGATTTTGTCCATGAGCCGATTCCCCCCTTGAAATCCTAAACCTAAATAAAGCTCTAAACCCTAAACTCCCTACAATCCCAAAACCAAAAATCACGAAGCCCCGGTCAAGCTGAGAGGGTCGCCATGATTTTGGCCTCCACGAAAAGCTCCTCGACCACCTCAACGGACCGGGCTTGCCGTGGAGTGTGAGGTTTCGGGGTCACCATCTGGGTCCGTGGGGTTCTATAAGTGTTATTTTAATGATTTGAGTGGTTTCTATAAGGAGGGTTTCTCTATGGGGTCTAAAAGAGAAAAAGGGATTTATGGAGTTCAGCGCCTGGAGGGTGAGGGTTTAAGGGGTAGAGGGATAGATGGTGCGCTAAACCCTAAACCCCCAGACCCTAGACCCTAAACCCCAAACCCTAAGATTTCGGGCTTGATTTGAGGACGCAGCTCTGGGTTGCTAGACTTTCCTACTCCAACAGAAACATGGACATTGCCTTAGGGTCCGGCCCTTTACCCAGATGCTCGAAATCCCGTTATACTATATGAGCCTTAAACCCTTTAACGGCTCATTTCGTCTATAATTTGTAAACTTCAGGAAATACGGTGTTGATGGAGGCCCTGAAGCACTTAAGTGCAATGAGAAATAGCTTCTACCAGTTATGGCCCCAGGTACCCTAAACCCCAGAATGCGCCAGCCTCGAAATATCGTAAACCCTAAAACTATATACTATTTGGGCACATGGACCCTTAGGGTAATAAACAAACAAAGCAACTTCCTACAAAACCCTCCAAAACAGACCTCATGGGTTTACGGCTTCATGACCAAACCTTCTATAAAACACTCTAGCCCCCTGAACACCCTAAACCCTGGACCCTAAACCCTAAACTCTAAATTACGGCTTCATGACCAAACCCTCTATAAAACACTCTAGCCCCCTAAGCAGACCCGACACGGCAAACCAGAAGGCCTGCCTTGCAATCCTGCTCCAACCCCTAAATTAAAGGAAGCTACAGGTGGGGAGTTTAGGGTTCCTTTAAAGGGTTCCGTAAGGGGGTCTATAGGGTTCCTTAAAGGGATTTAGGGTTTAGGGTTTAGGTTGAAGGAAACTACAGGTGGGGAGTTTAGGGTATATAGGGCTTCTTTTAAGCTTCCATAAGGTATGTAGACCTTCTTTAAGGCTCCGATAACGGTAGCTACCCACCTGAAAATGTCCTAGACTAAACGACAAACCCTAAACCCCAGACACAACAACACCCAACACAAACAACACCAAAACTCTAACCCAAAGGGTCCTAAGTACCCATATGATAGAATGTGGGGTTTCTATATTGCGATTAGTATGATGATTTGGGAAGGTCTCCCGCCGTAACAGTCCCTAGGACATTTTGGGTAAACAACACCCCAAAACACCCACAAACAAACCATAAACCCTAAACCCTAAACCCTGAACCCTAAACCCTAAACCCTAAACCCTAAACCCCAAAACCCCAAACCCTAAAACCCAAAGCCTTGCCTTGCGATCCCGCTCGGGAAGACCGGCATGGTGAATGCCGATGCCAAACTCCAGGGTGTGCTTCAGGCTCTGGTCCGTGACCTTAGGCTTACCATAAAGGGTTCTGTAAGGGGTTTAGGGTTCAGAGTCTAGCTCTGGTCCGTGACCTTAGGCTTCCCATAAAGGTTCTGTAAGGGGTTCGGGGTTTGGGTTTGGGGTTTAGATTTTAGGGAATCGGGTCCGTGACCTTAGGCTTCCCATTAGGGTTCTGTAAGTGGTTTAGGGTTTAGGGTTTAGGGTCTAGGGTTTAGGGTTTAGGGTTTAGGGTTTGGGGTTTAGGGTTTAGGGTTGGGGTGTGTGGTTTAGGGTTTGGGTTTGGGGCTTAGATTTTAGGGAATCTGGTCCGTGACCTTAGGCTTTAGGGTTTAAGGCTCCTTTATGAGGGCTTCCAAAAGGGTTCAATGAGGATTCCTTCAAGGGGCTTCCATAGGGGTCCTGAAACTTTTTAAGGGTTTTTGTAAAAGTTCCGTTTCGGGTTTAGGGTTTAAGGCTTCGGTTTAGGGTTCAGGTTTAGCGTGTTAAAGGTTCCTGTGAAGGGTTCTATAAGTAAGGCAAGGGCTCCTTCGAGAAAACCGTCTAGGGTTTAGGAGTTCAATGGCTTCGGGGCTGTAGGGGCTGGTCTGTGACCTTAGCCCTAAGGCTTCAAAGGACCTAATAATGAGGCACTTGGGCTACGGATAGTAGTTATATAGGTGTATATTTGGGAGAGTATATGAGTATTCGGTACTTGGACCCTTAGGGTTATAATTGTTCCAAGGGATTCTATAATCCTTAAACCTTAAACCCTAAACCCTTAGGGTTAAGCTTGTAA